CACACACACACACACACACACACACACACATACACACACACATAAGTACCGGAATCGTCACAATATGCTTTTTTGCACTTCCATATATGCAAAACGCATAAAATTTTCTTGAAGTACCAAGTTCTAGGAAGAGTGGATGCGCTAATAATCTGATACAGTAGCTTTAAAATAACCTCTTTTTCGCCAACAGACAAGCCTTTTCCACCGATATGCAAGCTCATCCTGTGAAATCTAAGTCCATCCCGGTAGGAAACCAATTCAGTACCATTGAGAACAACAACGTCAGCATCGTGCGTCACAGTCATACGATCTATTCTGCCGCCGAGATCGATTTCTTCCATCTGTAAAATTTCGAGCTAAAATGACTTTTCTGTTTTGTGTTTTACCTCTAAAATTTGCGAAATTTGCTTGCGACGTCTTTTCCAATGTATGCTAAATTTTTGAAAGCGGTTGAAAAATTATCGTTCTAGAAAAAAAACTAGATAATATATTTTAAAAATCCAGCATCTGCTGCTGGTATTTGTTACCTTCGGAATACTTCTGCCTTATACACAGAGTTAATGCGGTGAGGGTTTTGACTTTTAACTTTGACATGTTAGAAATTTCATTTAATATTAGACTAATATTAGATTGCAACGGAAGATGTGAAAAATTATCTGGCAAAGTTTTCGTTCTAAAAATTTGTGAAAAATGCCCTTTCACTCAAAAAATTCTGACTACGGCCTATATTCTGCATTACAATTAATGGACTGAAACATTCTAGTTCATCTCGAATATCAAAGTCAAAAGTCAAAACCTTCACCGCATTAACTCTATTTAAAAGGCGGAAGTATTTCGAAGACAACAAAGTATCAGCGGCAACCATCGAATTTTTGGAATATATTTTTTAATTTTTTCAAAAGTGATAGTTTTTCAATGGCTTTCAAAAATCCAACATACATTTGAAAAAGATGTTCATTCCTAATATGACTCTAATTTGAAAAAATGTCATTAGCCTTAATTTTCACTCTTTTTCACTCCATCCTCTTCTTCCTTCCCCCTTTATCCCCGGCGCCCCTCTCGCCATTACTGGCACTCATTTTTTCAGGAAGCAAACGAGCAGCAGTTGCGTATTTGCTACATTTTAACATACCTGCTCACCAGTTTCTGGATTCAGCACGCGAACCAGCCCGTTGCTTGTGGCCATATAGAGAAGTCCACTCTCTTCACAAAGGCCCACGATTTTGCCGTTTTCCGAAAACGTGTCTTCTCGAAGCAGTTCCATCTTTTTTTCCAAATTTCTGTTTTCCCGAAGCATCAATGCCTCCAAATGTGGCAGTTGTAGCGGAGCCATTGTTCCCCATTTTTGCTGAAAATGTTGTTGGGTCGTTGTCGCTTTTGTCGGCTCCCTGTTTAGCAACTTGAAAGGCTTCTCCGGATGGCCTGTTCGAGCCTGCCCTGTTGCTTTTGGCAAAGTTGCTGCGGCCTGTTTCGAAGTTGTCATGAACTGCGGCACTGCTGTGGAACCATGATACGTGAATGATGGTAAATCATTTCTGGATATCGCCTGGGCAGTGCTTGGATACCTTCTAGCAGTTGTAGTAGTTACAAGGATACTGGATGTATTATTATGAATCCTTGGAAGCTTTTCCGGATCCGCTGGAAGCGCATCTTTCATGCTTTTCTTTTCGGGATTGAAATGTGGATAATCGATGCCTGGAACAAAAATCCCCAGCTTTGTACCGAAATCTCGTCTACCCATACTCTCATCCAATCTTTGGTCACCGCCACGTTGAAAATCTTGTATTCTTGTATCCTGTGATTCGTCGTTATCATCGGTTGGTGTAGTAACAAGAATTACGATAATTGTTAGCGCAGCAGAAATGAACAGACAACAAATAACAGCGATGGCGCTCACTGTTCTCATAATTTTTCTTATTTGATTGAGGGACGATTGGAGAATCGCTGAGTTGAAGATGAAATCACTGACAAGAAAACTTCTTTGATCGAACTGCTCTAATGCAACAGTAACAGTTCTGAAATATCAAGCATCTAAAGCTTCTGTGCAGAAAAACAAGCTGATAATTAAATGCCGAAAAAGTAGGCCGATTCGAAAGAATGGATAAATATTTGCAACTTTTAAGTGATCTTTTTTAACACTACTAACTGATTAGTGACTCAGTTTTTCATGTTGTTAATTCTTTTCGATTTCTTCCATAATCCTTCTATACTTCTTGCTATGTCTGTTTAAATCTGCCTTTTTCTTACATGGCTAGTAGGAGGTAGTACTGATGACTCCCACTCCTAACTGCATCCAACGCTCTGTCTGTGTTTATAGTTAAGGGATGAAACAGAGATTGCAAACTTACCTGTGCATTGGAATATATAATTTTCAAACAATCCCACTAAATATTTCAGAGAGAAACGCTTGCTACTCCCCAGTACGCCCATCGGTACACCTGATATTTATATCCTTTATATACTCTTCGTCTTTTTATATGGCGCATGTTGTTTCTTGTTATTTTACATCCTTCATTATTAACCAGGTTTCAGTTTTTCTCCTTTATACTCAAACTTTAGCCATTTTTACTTAATGAACATCACAACCGTCGTGGCAACAAGGTCCATTTGCACTGAATAAGAGTGTATGCTACTTACTGAACCAAAATATTCTTGCCCAGTTGATTATTTTTAATATTAATTCCGATTCTATTGCGATTTTTTACACGTCGCTTAATTAAAAAAAATTTTTTTATAAATACCAAGACTGTCCGAGCTTCCATTTCGGATATCCCATGTTAGTAATGTTACTGGATGATATATGTTATCAATAAAGTTTTCATTTCAAAAAATCACTGCAGAAAAATTATTTCTCTTATCAGCTGTTAGAAATTATATGAATGTGTGAGGTTCAAAATAGGAAATAAAGAAGTTGCCAACGGTATCAGTGGCGAGAAGAAACGCAATGGCGAAAAAACTATTGTTCAAACTGTCAGAAAAAATAATTTGTTGATAACTGTTAATACCAGATAATGATCAATAAAGATGACCAATATGCAGTAAAAAATACCAACATATCCTTTAGAAATTTCTTTTTCCCTAAATCTCGTCCTTGCAAGAATATCCAGCTTTTCCGCTAAAACATTTGAACATTTAATAAACACGAAGAATCTAAAAAGAATAACGGCTGAGGAGAAGGAGTTCAAAGACACCAGCACTAAACATTTAATGAGGAAGAAGATGAAATTGCTTATCAGAATGAGATCGACACTGAATATTGGGTCAACGAGTGCCCAAAGCGCATTTGTCCTCGTTGCGTCGTCGTAAACTGATACGCAAATTTCTTGCAGAGCTCCGGAAGCAACGATCTTTTTGGATTTACCTATCGGGCTCAAAGCCTTAACTTAGTAAGTTAGACGCTCGAAACTTCCTCAGATCCAGATTTGCCGATGTTAAATATAAAAAAGACTGAAAAACTTCATGCAAGTTCTGATGCTCCCTCAGTGTTTACAGCTAAGGAATGAGACACAAACTGCAAACTTACCTGATCCCGAACATATAAATTTCTAGCAATCTTACTAGATATTTTGACTTGCGAAAACATCCTTGTAACATTGCTAACATGCAACCCGCATCGATTGCTCGGGCGTTTTTGACAGTCTTGGTAATAAGTTAAAGGCACAATATCCTTATACGTATTGTCGCTTGCTTTTTTTAGATAAAACAGCCCACTACGTGGGTAAAAAACAAGATAAAACAGCGCCTATACTGGTTTTACACAATGCACTGTAATCGCACTACGTGAGGAATCGAAGCATGCACGAGATGAAACTTGAAATTGTCATTCCCATCAGAATAATTTTTTTATTCAACTTTTCACTTCTGATTTACGAAATACCTAAATTTGAGCTTCTGACGAGAATTTATGTCGCTGTAGATTGCTCTCAAATAGCTGCATTTTGTAACTGCTCTTAAACTTTTTGATTTGCGCTCAAGCGCAAATTTTTTTTAAAAAAAATGAAATTTTTAAAACCTGCAGTTTTGGATTTAAAGAATTTGCCCGGATTTTAAAGTAAAGTCAAGAGCCAGAACTGCGAGTGACTTAAGAATTTATTTTAGATCCCATGCACGGTTGGAGACCCCGTCAGCAAAATTTCAGCTTTTTTAACTCTGAAGCCGTATAACGTTCAAACAAACAAGCAGATTAAAAACATACATATACACAGCGAGAAACATGTTTATCGGCTGAGCCCACTTTTTTCGTTTTTGTGCTGTATTAGGATGCGAACATTTTAGTGCAGCGCAAAGCGCATGTTAATTTCGCAGCCAAATTTTTCAAACCCAGGCTGGAACGCATCAGGCGAGCCGGTGCGATCATGCGTTTTTGCATCAAACTTTG